TTTAGGGGTTTAGGGGTTAGGGGCTCCGATACGGAAGGGCAGCCGGGTATAAGGGTTTTAAAAGGTCTTCAAGATTGTTTAGACGGGTTTTATGAATGCTTTGGAGGCCTTTTGGAATGGTTTTATATGGGAGGTTTTCAGATGAGGGTTTTCCTGATGAGGTTGCTTACCATAAGGACCCTACTTTCGGAGGCCTTTCGTTCGGTCCTCATTTTCTGAAACTCAAGTACGGCTTTAATTTAAGGAAACTCGACTTGTATCATCCACTTACTTATGTCCTTTATAACCCTCCTTACTACCCTCATGCCTTAAGTAATGTTAAGGTCCTGGACTCGAAGCCAAAAGCATGCATCTCACAAGGGCCTGAACAACTAGACCCGGGCTTTGGATGCTTGGGGGTAACCTGCTTCCTTCTAGGGATTATATATAACTGTAAGGGGGCAATGGCATGAACCATTGCAGGAAAGCTTACACTAGACTTGATTGTAATTCTCTTTCGGCTTGCCGCCGAAACCCTAAACCTTCTCCTCACCCAACGCTCCTCAAGTCCGGGAGAACCCGGAGACCTCGCCAGAAGCCCTGCTTAGACCCTGTTCAGCCAATACAAAACCTATTGACGCCTTATGAAACTCACATTTAGTAACCCAACAAGGCACGACCAAAAAGCCTTATTGAAACCCCGCTTGAACCCTTTGGGGGTCCTTCTCCCTCATCGAATGTGAGCCAGATGGGACCGTTTAGGCTGCCTGTGGCTTCGAGTTCCCTAGGGCTTTAGAGTTTAGGGTTTAGGTTTTTTTAGTCTGGGACTGTGTGGATGTCGGTGTTTGGAAGCTTCCGCCGATAGAAACCTGTACCAGGGGCTTACAGCCTGGTTCTGACAAAGAGACAAACGTGTCGAAATATGGGTTTGTCTTCTTCTTGACTTTTATAAACACCATGTGTTTTGGAGCAGATAACTTCTTGTGTGTGTTTTCGTCGGTCGTCATCGTATGTATGCACTTGTTGTTTATACTTTTGAGCCGCATACAATGCAAAGCAAGGTAAATCATGCAGAAACTGGAAGGGAGCTTACAGAAAGGGTATGCAAAAGTGAAGAGCTACACACAAGGGCCTGGTGGGCGGGGAGCAGAATGAACATGAAATGCAGGGTTTCGTCCCTGCCCGCTCTCCCCCCGCCTGTTGTGCATACCGATCACTTTGCCTCTTCCGCTGTTGTCGCCTTCTCTTTGCGCACGTATCCTGCTTATCAGCAGCTTAAATAGTTCTTTCTTCTTTTCTTGCCTTCAGACTACTTTATAATGCTTCATGTCTCCAGTGCATTATTCTCTTATAGTTTTGTAGATGTGTCGTGACAGTGTCATTTACGTCTTCGTACTTCACACGTGCACAATAAGATTGATACCTGATACATACATATTATATAAATACAGTATATATATGTGTATTTACATGTGTGTATATATATATATATACATGTGTGTGTGTGTGTGTCTGTTGTTCACCTTTAACTACTTCGCTGCTAGGTGATGTTCTCGTGGTGGGCTGTGCCAGCATTTCCGACACGATGAAGTATGTTGGACTAGGTTGCGACGCGCTATAACTTGGGTTTAGTCAGTTAGGGTAGATATCATTTGTCGACTACCCCGAAAACCAATAAACCAGCATACCATCCAGTGGAACCCGTTTCGCATCTGCAGGTCAACAGCTTAGAATCGTCGTCACTCGCGTAGCGTAGTTGCGATGAGCCATCATTTGAGACTCAACTATCTAGGGTTTAGACTCCGCCGAGCAATGGCACGCAAGCAGTGTATCACCTGTTGACACCATGCTGCATCTGGACCCAAAAATCAAAGTTGATTAACGGAGGGCATCGGCTAGAGGCTTCAAGACGGAATGACTCCGCAGCCTTTTCCCTCAGAGTTGCCCGTGGCGAAGGACACGGAGAAGCCAGCCGTCCAAGCGACCGTCAAGCAGCTAAACTGCAGCGGCTGCTTTTGGAGGAGGTTAACAGAAATCAACGGGAATTGAAGAACTTGTCGTACCTTGTGGCACAAGAGCTGGCAGCACGTGGCAGCATAGAACATGGTACAGAAATGCCAGCAGTGCGTGGGCACGTGATGATGTGCATATGCGTCTCATGCTAATGATGGTGCCAACCAGCGGTGCGAAGGCATCCGCAGCGCACCAACATGTGGGCCGTCTTTGCGTTTCTTTGTGCTCGCAAGCACGAACAATGATAAGAAGCGAGAACAGCATAAACGACACCACAACAATCGGATTATCGAAACTCACGAGTGCCACGCTTTCGACATGGAGCTCGTCCTTTTTCAACTGCTAAGTCGGCGTCAAATGTTTTTTTCTTGATTACCACAGTGCCACAGTGCTTCGCGTCTTTTATGCGATAGAGTTTGCCTAGGCTCAGACACTTTGGGAGGACTCCGTGCAGCAGCACTAGCGCGCGGACTCACAGCTGCTTCGTACTCCAAGAGGCTACCAGCATGTGAATTTCACACTGCAAGCTCTTGAGAAGATCAAGTATATCGACATCGAGAATCATTTGGAAAACGATTTTCTGGCCTCCTACAACCACCGCTTGCATGATGCGGTGCTCACTGACATGGAGTGGCCGGGGGAGCTGTGGTTATCGATGGGCATCAGAACGTGGCTGTAAATTGTTATTTTGTTTTGTCTGGCACATTCGTTCCGATCCGCATCGACAATTCGGACGGGACGCAGCCAAAGGCAGGCTTTAGCTGCTGCCAGCGCGTTTATGCGGGAAGCAGTTGGAGTTGCCTAAGCCGTCTCATTCGCGCACCGTGAAGACCCCCAAGACGGCCCCGACGACTAAGCCAGCGCCTCAACGCCGTCCGCAGGACCCGAAACGGCGCCCTGCGTGCCAGCCAGAGGAGCGCAAAAGGCTACGGGCCTTGTTAAAAGCTTCTTCCGCGAAGCACTGGGGCAGCTGCGCCGAGGGGTGGAAGAAGCTCAAGCCGGCATCTTCGGATGCATCAGAGGCAGACTAAGACCAAACACGAATGTTTGGGGTGCGCTCTGAAAAGGCTTCTTTGGTGTTCGCCCACCAAGTTCTTTAAGTCTTGACTCAGCGAGTACCTCTCAACCAGACCGAAGCACGTCCGCAGTGGTTGCAAAATGATCCTTTGTGAGGAAACCCCGCGTCCCGAGAAGACCTCGAACCCTCGATGTACGTCATCCCATGACCAAGCTTTCGAATTTGCTTGCGATCTGAAGTCGGGCGTTCAATCTCCATGGCATTTGGTGATCTGTTTGAAGAATGGTCGCAGGAGTGAGGTGTGGGTCAAGGTGACGGAGAAGCCATGCTTTCGACAGAAACCGTTCAAAATGCCACAAAAACGGGATTGTAGCATGCGTTAGACTGAGGTCGAGCCCTCAGACGCCGGAGCAAGGGCATCGGGCGAAAGTGGGAAGTGTCAGAGTAAGGTTTTGTGGTTATAAGGTTTAATTAGCGGCGTTGAACATGCCGAGTCGCAAAGCTTCGGGTGGTCACTAGTGCTATCTAGTGCTACTCGGGCATCCAGGAATAGGTGTTGACGCTTTCTTGTGTTCGAAGTTCGTTTTGAAGCTTTAGAATTATATTCGGAGAGGCTAAGCGTTTTGTCTCGCACAGTTTTTGTCGGAGCGTTGCTTGCGTGCGAAGAACTTGCCCAAGCTTCTTCGCGCACGGGAGCAGCCCAAAAAACAGTGCCGTCACTGGGTCTGGCGCCATGAGCCAGCCATTCTGGCGACGTCGATGTGGCAGATCCTTGTGTGGTTCACGGGTATGTAGAGGAGGGCTCCCGATGCACTTTGTGAAATAGCTCTTGGATCGAGCGAGACGTGACAAACTGCAGGGCTTGAGGTTTCAATGTGCAAGGTTCCGTTACCACAAAGCACACCTTGCGGGCGCTCAGCTAGTATGTCACAAAGATAAACCGACAGCTCAAAGCGGCCCACTGTGCACTGAAGCCAGAAACCACATAGGTTCCGCTACCCCAGAGCGCCCGCACTGCTGGTGCTATGTTGGTGTGTCATAAAGACTGAGAATGAGTTGGCATTGTTTTCGCCAAGAATGTTCTGCTCCAGCACGGTCCAACATCCATTGCATGATCTATTATCACATGTGTGCTTGGATGAAACCACTCGGACGCGAGAAGGCCTTCGCGAAGATCAGGTGCCGGCTTCATCGGCTTTTATGCCCAAGCTGATCTTCCTGGCTGCATCATTCACCTTCGACACAAGCACCAAGTGCTTTGAGGATTTCCAGATGTGGATCTAGGATGCCTGTCTATATTCCACATGCCCGAGACCCCAAACCTTACACGTTCAACCCGAAGCCCTGACCGTTCAACCTTCAACCAACAACCCTCAACCCTTAGCCCTAAACATACCTCAAGCACGTCGCGAGGACATGATGTGGGCTTCCGCGGACCTCACGAGCTTCTTTCATGGCTTGGGCTGGCAGATGCAGGCCCAGCAAGATAGTATGGTATTGCAGGGTGTTGAAATGACTTTACGACGTTGTACAAGTTTTTATACGTTGTTAAGCTTACAGGTCCCTGTTTTGAGCGCAGCAACTATGGATCTTTGTATGTGGTGAACGGTGAGTCAGTGTTCGTGTCGCCTCTTTTTTCCGCCGCAATCTCAAAGTTGTTGCCATATGGCCGTTAGTTCTTTTGTTGGCAATACACTCGTGTCTTGCATGGTCCTGTTTTCTGCGTGTCATCACCAGCATCCTTCGATGAAGCGGCCTGCACGCTTCCGCGTTCGCGAAATCTCCGGGTGAAACAACAAGGACTAGAAAATCCACGACTCCGAGAAGCCTTAAATCCTCAGTCCTATCGTAAACTTCACTCCGGAATCCCCAACCCCCTAAATCCCCGAAAGCACGTAAACACCCAAATCCCGAAAAAACCCTAAAGAGCTCGAACCCCTAAAAAGCCCTGCAGGAACCCTCTAAGGGCCCTTATGAGCCCTACAGCCGCCAGGTCTGCTCCCAGGGGACAGTTGTGACCAAGCGGGGAAAATCAGAAAGTCGCGAGCAGCAGATTCTGTTCCGGCCAGGACGGGTTGGTTTATGCAATACAGGGTTGGGATATCGTATCACTTAGGGTTCCCTGATCCAATGGTAGTATTTGTAGGGGCTACATAGATTTCTAGCATTTCAGGGTTTAATTGGGCGCGATACTTGAAGCACCCGTCTTCATAGGAATCGAAAATACATAGGGGCCTGAATAGTCACTTCTGTTCCTTCGGGTCCCCAGAAGATCCTTAAACCGCACAGTCCGAGTACTCTTTGCAAGTTTTTCTGGAGAGTTCTCAAGTTAGGATCCTTGGTTGGATGCCCAGGAGAACACGTCGCTCTTTGCAGTAAGGACACCAAAGAGGCCTTAACTTAAGAGAACCGGTCCTAAATCAAGCTAAACCCTAGACTTGCGACAGCAACCCCTCTCCTCGCAACCCGTCTAAGACCCCCTATACTACCCCCTTTCTGCAATAGCCCTACAGTGACAAGCAGAGTAGCAGAAAAGGATGGTCCGTATACTAACGTACCCTTACAGTACGGCCAGCCCACAGTAACCCTTCTAGTAGCCCTGTATTGTATCGCAAGCCATATTGTACTACGGTCAGCAGCCCCCTGAAAGTAGTAGTTCAGAGAGGATCCTCGCGGGAGGGTGCGGTGGAGCCTCACCTGTTCTTGGAGCTCTACACCGGTGAAGGCGAAATTCGGGGCCGAGTGTCGTTCAAGGTTTCGGGCCTTTCAAGGCTCTTTTTAAGTTTAGAGGTCAGGGAAGGGAAGCCAGCCGTTTTGAACTTTCGGGCTTATGATGGTCAAAGATGGGGCAGTGCAGTAGTGTTGGAGTCCTTGAGAGTCTGGACACCCGACGGCAGGAAGAACATGCAAAGCTTACGTGCGGGGTCGAAAGTCTAATGCGAAGCATGCAGGAGCGGAAAAGACTTGAATTTAGAGGTCGCGGCATTCCCTAAACCTTGCACGGCACCCTTCCTTAACCCTCAACCCCAAACCATACGCTGCTTACAGAACCAGGACAGACAGCACCCTCGGCCCTAAGCTCCTTGTAGAATCCTTAAACATCGTCCTAGAGCCCTCAACCTCAAGCCCAAAACCATAGCCACTGGGGAGGCTCGGAGGAACTCTATGCTCAGCCAGACGTGACACAGGCAGTTTAGGGTTTCGGGAGTAGATACTAAACCCTAAACCCTAAACCCTAAACCCTAAACCCTAAACCCTAAACCCTATTAGGATTTGGGATTGGTTTAGGGATGAGGCTTTAGGACTTGGGGGTTGAGGGCTGTGGGGGTATAAGGGCTGCTTTGGGAAAGAATCTAGGGCTTTTAAAGACTTGAGTATTTCAGGGTTATCAGGGCATTTGGTGTTTTAGGGTTTAGGGGTTTGGGTGTTAGGGTTTGTAGAGTTGTCAGGGCATGCAGGTTGTTTGAGCCTTCTTTCGGTTGCTGTGATTCTGATTTTGTTTGTGGCCATGGTTCTTATTCGCATATGTTTGTGACAATGACTATCTATCTATCTATCTATCTATCTATCTATCTATCTATATATATATATATATATAATCAGAAGAGGAGAACGTGGGGCCTGCGTTTTTGCAACTCACTATGTGGTTTTGTATGTTTCGAGTGGTTGTGTGTGTGTGGCTGTGGGTTTCTGTGTCAGTTGGTCGCTCGTTTGGTGCACGTGGGTGCGCGTTTTCGTTTCCAACTACAACATCAACTCTGAGTTGTTACAAACCACGGTGTCTGTTTATAAACACAGGGTGTGTTTATAAACACCGCCTTTCGGTAAACCGTGCTTTCATCGCTTTGAGTTTGGATGTGTTCATTGTCATGTGCCTCGTTTTCTTATACTTTTTAATGAAGCTAGATGGTTAACTCTGGTCTGATACAAAGTTTTGTCTAAATGTTCGTATTCATTGTATTATGTCGGATTTGGGGGCGCAGGAGTGTTGGGTTGATGTTGGAAGACCCCTCCCCCCTCCCACCCCCACCAGCACCAACGCGGCGCGCGCCACTCACTCCAAGCAACACGTTCACAAACCTCACTTTGCTGCATATTTTGCATATAGACACACTGATACGTAGGACTTTCTCCATGTGTCGGCATGTGTGGTTTAGACCAAGAGCTTGTTCATCTGAGAAAGCTTTTAAAGACACTGGTGTTTACGGAGTTTCTGCTGATGGGAAACATGATAATGCTATGTGGTCCGTTGTTTATATTATGGCCTCGATGGTTTTTTTACTATGGTTCATATCAGGTGGTTTTGCTGGTGCTTGTCTTGCTGCTACTCTTCGCGTCTGTAGCCCTACTTGTCAAGTACTCGTCCTGCTGCCCCAACTTGACTGGCTACAGTTTGTCAATACTCTTGCTTTTGCCTTTCACGGCAAGCCGACCCCTAGAGGAAAGCTAGTAGGTCCCAAATCCGTCCACCCACTGTGGCTTAGAGTTTTGGTACAGAGCTTCATAGGGCTCAGGATTTGGGGTTCATTGCTTGCTATGGATGGCTCGGAAGGGTTTAGGGTTTAGGGTTTAGGCACACGGTTTGGGTCCAAGTTGTTTGGAACCGGGAACCCTCAATCGAAATCAATCGAATTCATGGACCTAAGGTAAACTTAGATGTAAACCTTGATCCCTTGACCCCAAAGCTTGCATGAAGCAGGTGCCTGCGAATCAGCAGATTCGCTTCTGCCGCCGGGCTGAACTCAATTTCTTGCTGCTGCTGTCTGTAATGTGTTGGAAGTGCAGTAGGTACCGCTACTAGTAGCATCAGAACAGAGACAGTGCGAAAAAATTGCCGTCACAACGCGTTAGGCTGGAGCTGTGCGGCGGCTTGCCACCTAAACCTCAAGCTAATCCTTCCGAGTGCCCATGGTCATCCAGTGGAAAGAGAACCCTGAACTAAAGCAATAAGCCCTAGATTGACAAGATCCAGCATTACCTTGTGGAGTGGCTTAGACGACATACCGGCCGGCAGTATAGGCAGCACATGAACACAGCAGCAGTTAATGCAGCTGATCTTCTTGAAGTGGAATCCGTGGGTGTAGCTGCATCAGAAAAGCGGATACGCTCGATGCCTGAAACCGCAAGCCGGCGCAGGCTTCAGGATAAGGCCAATTGACAGTCAGGGTGAGGAACAAAACGAGCGCAACGGGAACGATGAGAACATAGGGGAACGGGGACAGGTTATGATGCTGATTCTTGTGACTTCTGTTGTGACTACGAACATCTTGAACATTATTCAATGCTGGTTCGCCACTATCAGTGTTAATCTGTGCTTTTCGCGGCCTGTCACGACTCCACTGAAGGCCAAGTTGGTGACTGCTCTGCAGCCATCGAGCCCCTCAAGAAGTTCCTCACCAACTACCTGGGCGGCGCCATCGACGGCCAAGACGAGCATGGGCGCCCGGGTTTACTACGTGATTTTAGGGTTTAGGGGTTCCTGTAAGCACGACCACAAGAGCAAAGGACATCGGCAGCGGCGGTAGCAAGAACAACAGCAGCAGCAGGAGGAGGAAGAGGAGGAGGAGGATGGAATCATAACAGTAGTAGTATTCGTCGACGCCGTCGTTGTCGCTGTAGTGTAGTTACTAGTACTAGTAGCAGCAGCTCAACATCAACAAGTATAGTAGTGATTTGTATGTAGATCATGACGTTGATTGTCACAAGCGCTACACTGAGATGCGTCTGCAGGATTTCCAGTCTTCACCATGCAATTATTCGATGTCCAAGTTGAATATCGTTTTCCTTTGTTGATATATATATATATACATATGCTTACTCATGTGGTGCTCGCGACTTGTTCTAGGATCTTGCTCCTGGTCTTAGGATCATGCGCCTGGTTGTGGATGTCTTTCTCAGCCGGGGAGCACACGACAACAACCTGGGATGCTGGACCATGCGCGTGTGCGACTTCATGGTGGCCGCTAGGCTAAAGACACGCTTGGGTCTGGTGGAGTCTGGGGGCAGAGATCACGGCCCGATCCCGACAGGTCGATCACCGAATCCCCGGCTTTGCCCTGATGCCCTGAATGCCTAAACTCATCCGAAACTTCAATTCGTCTGGGCATAGATATCCAGTGGCTTCACCTATTGTTCTGTTGTCATACCGTTACTTTTGCTTTTCATGTTGTTATTGTTTCGTATGATGCAGCCTTGAACTGGAAATCAGCAGGGTGATTAGTAATATTTTGTCACGTGTGCTGACTACTTCGCAAGCGGCCACTATCACCACCATGCCCTCCTCTTCCTCCTCCTCCTGCTCCTACCACTGCGAATGCTGTTGTTGCTAAAGCTGCTGCTGCTGCTACTACTACTACTACTACTACTACTACTACTGCTGCCGCTGCTGCTGCTGCTGCTGCTGCTGCTGCTGCTGCTGCTGTTGCTGCTACTACTACTCCTACTGCTGCTGCTACTGCTACTGCTACTGCTACTGCCACTGCCACTGCCACTGCCACTGCCACTGCCACTGCCACTGCGACTGCCACTGCCACTGCCACTGCCACTGCCACTGCCACT